ATTGGGCCCGGTGCTGGAGAAATTGTTGTCCGGAGTTGAGACATTTGGGGGCGTTGCCTTGGGCCAGCAATCGGCGGGGATATCAGCGGGCACGGTAGCCGGGGTTTGTAGGGGCTAATGCCCTCGGGAACAAGCAGCCCTTGGCGATTGAACGCGAAGGTCTGGGCAGGACTTAGCACGTCCCGGTCAGCGAGGACAGAAAAGATAGAGGGTGATTTCCATCGATGCGTGGCTATCAGAGCTGAAGTAAGAGGTAGTCCGGGGGGCCAGATCAGTTGTCGGGGAAATCGGCTGCACGTTGCGCAGCCAAGATGCAATCGGATTCAGAGGTGACCCGGGACTCGGCAGAGCTGGCAATGGGACATCCGGGGCGGCTCGCAGTGGAATATCGCTCAAGCTAAGTTGAGAAGGATAACTAATATCTCGTCTGGCTAAGAGGAGATGCTGGGTGCCTTCAGGGATGTGAAGCGCCTGCGGGCGACGGGCTTCGATGTACGCAGCGCGGGTCTGCTGGTTGGGGAGGGGGTAGTGGGGGTCGAGGGGGCTGGGAGGTAATTCGTCCGATGCCATCGCGGATGGAATGGGAAGGTTACTGGTTGGGGATGGAAGAGTGGGTGGGGGTGGATGAGGGATGTTGTTGCTTTGGTGGATTGGGAGTGTTTTCGTGGATAAGAGGGCCTGCTCGGGTTGAAGTGTTATTGTCGCCTGGGGTTGTGTGTCGCTGTGTGTTGCAATGCCTGGAGATGGGGAGGAATCATTGAAGGGAAAATGGATGGGCTTTTATACTCATTCGGCTCCGGTACAAAATCTTGATTCAGGCACGCGTTGTGCTGATGGAATGAGCAGTGAGTTGGTCCGACACGAAAGCATTTCCAGAGGAATGCTCAGTAACTGAAGGGGGAACAAAAGCTCATGGATCGAAATGTCCTCTGGCTCTGCTTTTTTTTTGCAGCATAAGACTATTGCCCGAGTAGTCCATGAACGAGTAGAGGATTCAAAAGCTTCGGCTAGCTGCTTTTCTTTCTACAGGTAAGTACTTTCGAGGATGGCCAAAGATGTAGCTGAGGTGGATGGACTCTCTACTCTCCTTTAGCATCGCGCATCCGAATGCGTATAACCATTTTCGCTCAGTCCCACCAAGAGCTCCTTCGACAGAGTTAATCCAGAGAAACTCAGCTGATCCTGCAAGGAGCTCATTCAATATTTAGATCCAAAATGCGTGTTACAACCAATTATATCGTTGATGGTAATAGCCTATGTAATACTCAATGTGCAAAGGCTTTCTCCCTCTTTCATGGGTACAAGAATGTTCTTTTCCTCAATGAGGGTATCTCGGGTCTCCACGTCCAGTGCTCCTATCCATTTTTTTCAAATATTTCCGTTTTGAGCGTTGGAAGGAAATTACTGTCTCCGGTGGAGATCTTGTTTCTGAACTGAACCAGAATATAGAGCCTATCTGATTGCAGTTAGCTTGTGTGGGTCATAGGATAGTCCCCAGATCTATGCATGGGCTGAGCTTTTCTTTGATGTAACACATATTTACAACCAGTTGCTCAAATCTGGTTTGTTGGACTCATGAAGTGGTTGTCGAGATCTTACACATGCAGTGTTTTCATGGGGTCACTGTTGGTTTCTCAAAAAAAAAGGACGATGGATGCAATAAAATCTGATCGATGTTGTTATAGGCTGCAATACCCTTCTAGTGGAGGTACAGTTCCGGAGTCCTGGGTTAAGGAGTGCTGAGCTTTCTCCAT